AAAGTAAATGCGCACTTTTTCGAATATGTTAAAGCTCAGAATGTCTCTTTCTCGTTCTTTTGAATACAAAAAATATTAGATAAATTATAATTCATTTTGTTATACTGTTATTAAAAATAAAATATATAATTGTGAATGAAATACTTATTAATATTTTAGCGGATAATCTGTTTTTCGGTTCAAAAATTTTCCTTATGTATCAGACACTCTGTCAAAATTCTACTAGAAATTCTAGAAATTATACTTATGTTCGTAACGACGAAAAAAAAACTTTAAGTGATGACAAAAAATTTACTCATAATCAAAGGTAGTTGTATTTTTTATAATTAAAAACTGAAAAATGGTTTAAACCATCAATCTCTTTTTTCTGAATATAAATATTAAAGAGATAGAAAAAAGAGAGAAAAAAAGAGAGAAAAAAAGAGAGAAAAAATAGGGTAACAAAAAACATTATTCTGTATTGTTTATACATTTATAAAATGCATCTAAATATCTAAAAAATTAAAATTTTTTTCTTAATATATAAGAATTTTAAAAAATATCTTCTGGGCATTTTCCTGCAAATTTACTGAATTTCAGTTTCAAATAGCCTGTAAAAATTTGCAAAATATATCATAAATCTGTAACAAACAAGTAACAGTTTATACATTAATGTTATCGAAAGAGAAGTAAGAGAGAATATTCATGTTGCTTTTGCATTGAATCTAATCTTTGTTAAATTATATTGCGATGTTATATCTATGATCTTGGTGTTCGCGCCGGGAGCATTCCGAGCCGGGCTCAGGAAAGTTGCCACCATCTCCGCTAATTGTAAGGTACTCTAATAATAGTAATAAATATATGGCAGTTTACGGAAGGGCACGATGGTTTTATGAAAATATGGTAGACTTGGGACAATACCATACTGTGGAAACAATTATCGGACTTCGCACGGCGACGGTGTCTGCTGTTTGCATCGCGACAACGAATTTCCGTTGGGAAGCAATTACCGTTGCTTGCGGACGACGTCTTTTGCGAGCCGCGGTTACTTCGGCCCTTAACTCTTCGATGCACATTTCAATTTTCCATCTACTTAAAAGTTATATACATAATATAATTTATCACGATAACAAAATATTTACATTGCTTGCGCAACGGAATACGGCGAGCATAGAGTAGAAAATGTAAATCCCAAAACCTCTTTAAGTTAAAATTCTGTTGAAGTATATAATTTATTTAAGATTAAATGAAGAATGAGACTTTGCTCTCTAGTGGTTTCTACTAAAATCGGCAATTCTATACAGAATGTCCTATTTGCTGATGTTAATTTCGTACACTCGCTTCATATTTCGTTCCACCTGAACAAATCCTCCATTGTGTTTGGAATGGCAATTAAAGATAAATAGTTAATCACAATGAAATTGAAAATTTTTTAGTCTACAGGGTTAAATTCTATTATTTTGTGGATGTTTTAAATAATAATAATTTATATTGATATTTCAAAAAAGAAATATCAAATTTAAAATTTTAATATTAAATTAATATTAAGTATTAAATTATTATCAAATTATTACTTAATATTGAATATAATAAATATTAAATATTAAAAAATATTAAATTAATATTAATTACAATAAAATTTTGAGACTTTACTGTTAAATATCTGCAATTCTGAGAAAATAAAAAATGTATTCAGGTCAACAAATTTTTATATTATTCATGGTATGGCGTGAAGAAGATTTAAAAAAGGATAAATGCTTTCACGTTATTGCGCTCTTTAAATTAAGAAATGCGCTATAAAAGATCAAACAATATAATTTTATGACGCGCTATTTTACTTTTTATAAAGATCTTATTACTGTCTGTCGATGGAAAGTGTTCCTCGCGAATAAATACATAATAATTATTAACGATAATCTTCAACGTAAAGATTCGAGCGCATCTTTTCTGTTTTTCGTGATTTGCGTTATTAACCAGCCATTAACACATACTTTATGAGCCTTCGAATAATATGGTAGAATAGTCTTCCTTCTCGGGTGGAAACGTCTTCTGGTGTCAGTCTTTGTGTAATCCACCTTGAGAGAGTTGGTCTAGGTTCGGTCATCTCCGCAAAATTGCAACTCTCATCGAGTCGAGATTAAACCTCACAGTCTCCGCCAGCGCAAATGCATGTATGGAAGGCTTTATCGTTATGTGCGCGCGAATTTACGTGTGTGTGTGTGCGTTTCTGAGTGGGCATGTTCACACACGGAGGAGCGAGCAGACATCTGGTTCGTGCATCTCGTCTAAGAACGTAGAGGGGTAATGCGAAAAGGGTTACGCGCCGGAGGAGCATAGCTCGCAACCCTTTTAGCTCCTTACCTTTTGCCACGTGCCATCAACGTTTCCTCTCTCGCACTTTCGAGATATATTCGCAAAACCGCGCATCATACTCATCAAGGGTGCATTATCGCACAGGTGCCCTTAGAGATACACGCAAATTCCAAAAACACGGGAGCTTAGTGTTTCATTTCTTTCAAATTATTATGATATGATAGATAATGTCAAAATGCAAATAGTATCATTTATAATTATTATTAAAATTGAAATGATTTAGACGTTAAAGTTCTTTAAGGTACTCTACATGGAAAAAACGATTTTGTTGTATAAAGTGTTTAAAAATTTTACTAGATACACAAATCTGAAAAGAATTTTGCTGGACTGTCAGTAATTGTATACGATACTCAAACTTGCTAGAATATAAAAATTTTTTGCAAAAATTGCTCGTCATATATGAGTCTACATAATTATTGTATTTTGATGGTCCAACAAAATTAGTTTCAATCTTGTATCTAGTTAAACTTTGAAAAATATTTTTGCAAAATTGTTATTTCCATCTAGATTTTAAATCTTGTTATACTAGTTTTAGTAAATAGTAGAAGGGCACCAATTTTGCTATCCCAAGAGAACCTTACATCAAATTCTGATTTGTAATGAAACTTTATATATCTACATTTAGATTACATAAACAGAATTGAATGAATTTAGAAAATATCAATTGCGGCCAATAAATTTAAAGAGGTGAAATCATTCCTTATACATAAATCAGTTTTAGCTTTCCTCGTTATATCTTAAAGTATTAATTATTTTCAAAATTATTTTTTACAAATATTATTGACATAGATAAGTAGATAGTTCTATTAAAAACTTTTATGGAAAACGTTTTTTCATATCTTGAATAGTTTATATAACGATTAATAGATATAACGAATAGATATAACGAAAGAAGCTGAAAACATTTTCATAAAAGAGATAGTCACTTTTTAAAATCGTTATATTAGCATCTGATATTTTCTAAATTTATCTATTTACGTAACTTATATGTATACAAAAAGTCAGTATTTTATTCTTGGATTAAGTAGAGTACACTGGAATGGTCTTTCTCCCTTTCGAAAAATAATCCCAAATTTATCTCAAACTTATCTCACTTTAAGTTTCAAAAGTGTCCACTAGTTCAGCCACAAAAGTTCAGCCACCTACAGTTTCATTAAAATTAGAATTTGATGCATTGTAAGTCTATCGCAGGTTTCTTTATTTCGTGCTAACATTACCAGTTATTTACATCGGTCCAAAGGGCCTCTTTTTCATACTCCACTCCACGCGATTCTCCTCGGGGTTGCTACAGCCGCGCCGCCGCCGCCACCGCGAATTCTCAAGTCTCGTGGCTAGTGGTGGTTGGTTTCTTTGTGTTTGCCGGTTGCCCGGGCAACCTCGAAAAGTTTGCCTAGGATTAAATATGTAGTTTCGAATTAGGCGGGCACAATGTCGACTCTCTCTCTTTTTCTCAGACCATGAAACGCGATCTAAGACGCGTCTCGAGCTATGGACGAGCGGTTCTTTAGAGGCGAAGGCAACAAAAGCGCGTCTGAGGGTTGAAAAGGGGTTCGCATATGGCCGTCAGTCTCGATGTTTCACAATGCGAGATTACTCGTTTCAATGATAGAAAAATATAACGGCGTGACTGCAAAAAAACTATTTTTGCCTCTTTTCTTTTGTTTCAAACGAAACTGCTTTCCTTTCGGAAAGAGATTTGGCTTCATATAAGAGATAAAATAAATATATATTTATAGAGATATCTGATGTTTCGATAAAATAAATATGTGAAATCCGTACATCTATGTGTAAACAAAATCTGTGATTTTTTAATAACAGAATGTTGATTTTTACTTATTCCGATAATGAAAAATAGTTTTGATTGAAAATGAATAAATTAGTTATAGGTTTTGATCATATCAATTAGAATTCCGGTTATCATAATTGAATATCTAATTATCTCGATTAAAATTATAATAGATTTAACTGTAAAATTTTGATTTATCCATTTTTCATAGAATTTCAATAATGCAACTAGGCTTTTTCAGTAGACATTTCATAGTTTTTAAACGCTATATAAAAAATAAAGGAGAAAGATAGATAAATATGTGCTTTATCTTCTGTTGTTTTTGAGCTCATTCCAAAAATTGATTCTGCAAAATTAATTAAATTTTCATAACTGAATAATCAATTTCAAACTCATTAAAATAGTTCCTTTTAAAACATTTGTTGATTTTTTAAAATATTGCATAAGTTAACCTTATATTATTTGATTAATTTCTTTATAAGTGCACAGTTTTTAATTAACTAATTGTATTTCACTTTCCATTAAATTAACTACAGTTATAGCTCTTATGGCAGCTCTTGCTCTGGATTTTATGCCATTACAATCAACAAATACCGCGTAAAACAAAACTGAAAAGAATAACAATCATACAATACTTTAACAATATATATATTGTTATA